GATTTCAGAATGTGTCATTTAATAGATTTAGTCCTCCTGTGTGTTGTAAATGGTCCCAAATTAAGTAGACGAGGGAGAACCCAATACAGAAACAAATTAAGAAGCTAACTAGAACTGAACTAGTATGGCAACAGTTAGAGATGATAATGAACACAGAAATGATTTATAGAATACAACACAAAGGCAGAAAAATGATAAAGATATAAACACAACTGAAATGTTAAACTACCAAGAATTCAAACAAGCAATACTTTGTATTGCTTGTATTGTACACTTTTTGTACTGTTCTTGCAATAACTGCTGTTTTGCTTCTGTTAAAACTTTTTAACCGTAAACCCCAAACTTTTTTTTTTTTTTTTTTAGGTTGGCTTGGAGAAGCTGATCTGGCAGCCCAGCATGTGATGGTAGAAATAGCAGCCCTTACATACATGGTATGGATTATTTCAAAGAAGTCAAAATGTTTAATTATATTCATTGACTTATCTATTCTTTTTAATTTGCATTTTTTTTTTTACTGAAGTAATTGCTTGAGCAAACATGACCTGGCCTCAATAAGGTATATATTTTTTTCAGTTTCCTTTAGGCGTCCATGTTGCAGCCTGCGTACGTGTTGGAAATGCTCTGGGGGCTGGCAACACATCCAGAGCAATAGTCACTTGCAAAGTAGCTCTAGTTCTGTCAGGTATGAAAATTCATGCTCTATGTTTGGTTTATTACACTTTATGAATCGTTCTGAAAAATTAGTTTGGGTTGACCTGTTGAAAGCTAAAACGTACCACTGTAAAATTGATCTTAGGGCAAGGCAAGTTCATTTATATAACACAATTCAGTACAAAGACAATTAAAAGTGCTTTATGTGGATTCAAGTATAAAATAGAAGAAACATAAAAGGAGAATAAAAGCAACTAAAGATAAAAGCATGATAAAACTGGGTAGTAAAGCAAATAAAACAGTTCGACCTCAAATTTAAGATATCTCACTTAACAGTTTATCGTCAACAGTCAAAGGCAGTTCTAAACAAATGTGATTTTAACTTTGACTTAAAAGAGCTAAGGCTTTCAGCACCTTTACAGTCTTCTGGGACTTAGATCCAGATAAGTGGAGCATAGGAAATAAATGCTGCTTCTCCATGTTTGGTTCTAGTTGTGGGTGTACAGAGTAGTCTGGAACCAGAAAACCTAAGTGGTCTAAAAGGTTTATCCATATACAGTGTCAGCAAATCTGTTATCTATTGAGGTGCTGAGTCATTCAGTGATTTCTAGAGTAACATAAGGATTTTATAGTCTATTCTCTGAGCTACAGGGAACCAGTGTAAGGACTTCAGAACCGGACTGATGTGTTTCTTTCTACTTTCTTAGTTCTAGTGAGAACCCAGGCAGCAGAGTTTTGTATGAGCTGCAATAGTCTGACTGACTTTCTAGTCAAACCTGTGAAGACACTGTTGCACTGTTGTAATCAATTCTACTAAAGAATATATTTAATGGGAGGGTACCCAGAATGGAGCCTTGAGGAACCCTGCGTGGGATTTTTATTATTTTTTATTGTCTCTTATTTTAAGTTCCTTTCTGACACATAGAAGTCAGCAGTGTCAATGCTGTGATCAACAGTGTGAAATGCTGCACTAAGGTCCATTGATACCAGCACTGTGGTTCTTCCAGTCTGAATTTATATGCATTACATTGAAAACTTTAATCTGGGCAGTCTCTGTACTGTGGTTGAATTGGAAACCTGACTGGTAGACAGCAAGACAGCTGGTAATTTTTAACAAATGATTTAAACAAAAAAAAAGGTTTTGTAATGAAAAATTTCCCCTTGCATTTGTCTATATTATTAATGCCTTTTAGAACAACAGGCATTGTGTTCCACTTAGTACTGGCTGCAGTAACTTAGATCTATGAATAATTATTAGTGTTGCGCCGATGCCATTTTTTGGCCCCAATACAGATACCCGATACCTGGCTGTGCAGTATCGGCCGATACCATAATAATGTAAAATAATTGCGATCATGGCTTTGTCAAGCTGCTGCCTACCTTTGTGAAGCAGGAGAAAATCTAATACAAAGCGAATCCAGTAGAACTTTTTATTGCCTACCAGGAGTGGGTGACAGTGGTTGAATAATCTTATGGCTCTCAAAATGGTATCGGTGCCCTATTTGTTGGTACTTGCCAATACCGATACCACCATTTTAGGGCAGTATCGGGGCCCCGTCCGATACTGGTATCGGTATTGGTGCAACACTAATAATTATACATTGTTTTTCGCCTCAAAGAGACTTCAAAAAGGAAGTTAATTAATTGCTGATTATTTTAAACACATACCTGTTGGCTATCCTGTTAAGAGGCAGAAGCAAAGAACCCAGAAGTGGTTAACACATATTACTGAACAGGAATGATGTGGTTCCAGAGAGTCAGTCTCTTCAATTCTGAACCCAGTTCAGCTCATAAATCTTAGAGCAACGCTCTCAATTGTAGGATGGGGCCACCCACCTACTGATATTTCTTTTGTCAGCCAGTCTCTGCCACTGATAAACCTGGGTGTACACTGTGCGATTTTTTTCAATCATTGCACGCAGCTACTGCTCACATTGTACGACTAAACCGCAGGGTTTAGTCGTACAATGTGAGTTTACAGCTCACGATTTTGTTCGGCCCAACGCTCTAATGCGATCCAACTGCTCACACTGTATGACTAAAAAGCACGTCGGACTGAGCTGCGTAGTGAGATGGAGCTGCTCTGTAGCTTTCTATCCTGAAGCCAAACAAATAGAAGGGGGATCTTAAGTTCAGTTTAGTGAACCGCACAGCCTTGGCAATTTGTGCAATTTTGTAATGAAAGCCCTGAAAAGAAAAGGCAACGACATATTTGGAAAAAAGACATGGCTGAGCAAACGTGGCTATGACGGTCCGTCAATTTTATAGACAGAACTGCATTTCACATTGCATCCCTGCTATGCTGCTCCGTTTACAGCTGAGAGAAAGAAGAAAAAGAAGAATCCTTGTTTGCGCACTAAGTGATTTGCCGACAACGGTCGGGAGAAAATCAAACAAGTTTGATATTGTCCCGACCTCATGATTCCTGATCCGGAGGTGGTCGTGAGAGGCTGATGGCAGCTCGTAACCCCCTGTACACTAAATGACTCACGACGCATGATCAGGCTGAAAGTCAGCTCGATCTGAAAATTCTTGCACGACTGGAAAATCGCCCCGAAAATCGCAGTGTACGCTGGGCTTAAGGAAGGCAGGTCTTTCCACCAAATGTAGTGTACAAGAACATACTTTGTTTTTGTTTTGTCACAACAAATCCCAATAGCATACATGAAGTTTTTTGTTGAAAACTGACATAATATAGAAAACACAAAGGTTAAATTGTTTTGCAGAATGCTGTCTAAAATAAAGATTAACCTGCTCTAAATCACTCTTTTTGTTATCTGAACAACAGTTGGACAACTAAAATAGTTTTGATAATTTTGTCTGAATTATAATACTGTTCTTGATCCATATAATTTAAGTATTTTGTCTTTTCTTTTTGCTAAAGGAGGGCTTGCTGTATTCCAGGGGTTCATCCTTGCTGGCTGTAAGTCCTTCGTTGGCAAAATATTTACCTCAGATGCGTGAGTCTTCACAACAAAACATATTAATTCCCTTGAAGCTGAAATTGCATCTCTGTTTTGATGATCTCCCATGTTTCCTGCAGCCAAATTATCCAGCTTGTGTCAAACAACTTGACAGTTTACGTATTTCTTCAATTCCTTGATGCAGTTCTGGTATGTTTTTAATTTTTTGTCTTTTTATCTCAAAGTTTTTTCTTTTTTTTTATCAACACTCTTTTTATGTTGTTTTGGCATCCCCTAGTGTGTCTGCAACGGAATTCTTGTTGGATGTGGGAGACAGAAAATCGCTGCCGTATCAAACCTGGTGTCTTACTATTTCATCGGCCTACCAGTAGGAGTGGCACTAATGTTTTGGGCACAGCTGAGAGTATTAGGTAATTTATTTATGATATATATTTATATTTTCATGACAAACTTGATATGCATATCATCACATTCTGGTGTAAAATACTAAACAAAGGTTTTCACTAGTGTTACAACCCAGCTTAGCAAAGGGGAAAGAAGGAACATTTAAAAACTAGATATGATGTGCTTTATAATTTCAATGTTTTATTGAAAAAAATGGGGAAAAGGTAAGCAATATGAAATACAATCAAAACAAAACCACAAAGTGTAACAAAGATAATCTAGCGTTTTTAAATCTACAATGACCAAAGGCCACAAAACTGAATCCTGGTGCTGAGTCAGCACTTTGATAAATATAAGGAGGAACGCACAAAAAAAACACTAGCCACTTCGGGACAGAAGTAAGTTACACAACCATCATCAAACTGTTTGCAAAGTGTCACAGCTATACAAAAGTTGTTCCAACCTTTAACCAATACACAACCCAGAAAGAGGCAAGACAGCTGCCCAGTATAAGCAGCTCTCCTTGGATTGGTGGGACAATCAGGCCAGTATCCAATCCAGATGAGGAGAGGCTTGCAACAGGAATTGACAGAAGAAACGGCAGGAAACAGGAAATGACAGGAGGGCTGCAAGTTCTTAAAGTGATGCCAGCTGACAGAGAGCTGCAACTGCATCTGCAAACATAACCTGGGAAAAAAAAACAAAAAAAAAACGTACACACAAAAAAACAATAAAAACAAAGGCCACTGGCTGTAACACAAGCTTTTTTAGTTATATGTAGGATTTGTTCCTAACGATTGTTATTTGAATATGCTACTTTTTTTCATATTCCATATCCTTACATACCGGTATATATTTCATATACAGTAAAGAGCATAAAAATTAAGGGCAGAGCTTGTACCTGATCATCCTTTGTTGGTGTTGTAGATTTGGTGCCTGGGAGCACACTAGATAACCCAGTAAATCAAAGTAGCCTGAGTAAACCGGGCAGCAAGGTTTGGATCTTTTTAGGAACTTCATTAGTCAATTAAGTAATGATTCAGAAGACTACAATAAAACAAAATAGGATACTCTTTACTATTCAATCTACCACAACATAAACACCCAACCTACCTAAATAGGGATAATACCTTAACAACACTGACAACAAACCTAAAGAATACATAAAAAGATCTATTTTCCTTTTGGGGGAAGCCATTTAAAAAAGGTTCAATGTTTGTTTTACTACAATATGTGTTTTATTATGTTTTACAAAACTCATCCAGGTGCCAAACTTAGGCTCTTCCAGGTTCCCTGTTCTTCTAGGTAATGTAAGTCATAATGATCTGCTAGCCTTTAACAACATAACCAGTTCTAAAACATTGTTCCTAACTGGAAAAAGCTTGAATCCTGTTGCTACAGACATATTGTGGAAGATGGATGGACCAGTTTGGGCTTTTTCTGCAATGATGAGGCTGTCACCTTTGTGTGTTATGGTAAAAGAAACAGCTGAGCTGAAAGGTAGAACTGTTAAATTGCTGGGCCATTTACTTGACAGTATTCAGCTATGGTCATTAAATATGGATTCTGACAAAAATAATAAAGCTATTCCCCCACATTATTTAAATTAGGCAAACCTTTTTATATTTTTTCCTTTAGATATGACAAATAAAGCAAATAGTCTGATGCTTAAAAGGTCAGGTCAGTATATTCAGTGGTTTCTATATGGCAATAATACCTGACGGAAACAATAATTGGGATTTTGAGCATCAGCCTGCAGCTATTATACTAAACAATATAATGTAAATAAATATTTTTTTATCACTATGTTGTCTTTATATGTTTCAAAGTAAACAATAAGGGGAGGATTTTTTTTCCCTTGCCTTATTATGACCATTACTTTAAAATGTTAAATGTTTGTAGTTAAGCTGAATGAGATATGCAAACTACACAATACTACATTCATCTCTGTGTTCCCATCCTGTCACAAGGGAGCTCTAAAGAGCATTACTCCTCTGACATTGTAAAAGAAGACAATTATAGCATCTGCACGTATTTCCTTTAATGACAAATTGGGTAATTCTGACAAACCTTGGGATATAGTTTTGGACATAAATTTCACACCTTTTACTTTAAAAAAAAAGTTGTGTTCTTTGAAGAAACTCACCCTGGTGTCATCTGCAAAACTCAATCGATGTGATTGGTGGTGAACCTGGGGACGCAGTCGTGTGTCATCAGTGTGAACAGCAGGGGCTTCAGGACTCAGCCCTGATGGAAGCCTGTGCTTAGGGTTATGACATCAGAGGTGTTCTGTTCTTGCAGCCAATTGAAGAGAGGTGTACTGAAGCCCAGCTGTTCCAGTTTTCCTATCAGATGCTGGGGGATGATGGTGTTGAAAGCTGAACTAAAGTCCAGGAACAGCATCCGCATGTGGGTGTTTTCCTCCAGGTGTGCTAGGCTCAGGTGAAGAGCAGAGGAGATGGCATCCTTAGTGGAGCGATTCCGTTGGTAGGCAAACTGCAACGGGTCGAATGTTTGGGGGAGACTGGAGTTGATGTGTTTTTTACCAACCTTTTGAAGCACTCCATCATGGTAGGAGTCGGCATACAGGAGGCTGGTAATCATTGAGTGAGATCACCTGAGAATAGTTTGGGACTGGGATGATGGTGGCAGACTTAAAGCATGCTGGCACTATGGATTGCACTAGGGAGGTGTTAAAAATGTATGTGAGGGCATGCATGTGATGCAGTGGTTAGCGCACATGAACCATGTACGGAGGCCTTAGTCCTCGACGCAGGCGACCCGGGTTCGAATCAGATCTGTGGTCCTTTGCCACATGTCTCTCCCCCTCTCTCATACCCCTTTCCTCTCAGCACTAAAGGAGCGATTAGTGCCGTAAAAAAAAAAAATGTCTGCAAGGACACCAGCCAGCTGACCTGCACAGTCCTTGTACACCCGCCCGGGTGTGTTCTCAGGGCCTGGGGCCTTTCGTGGGTTGACTATCCTTAGAGTCTTCCACACTTCAGCTGTGCTTTTTAGTGCCTCAAACCTTCCAAAGAAGTTGTTTAGTTAATTTAGGAAGACAGCATCAGCTGCACCCACCGTCTGGGAGCATGTGTTGTAGTCTGTGATTGCCCGTATGCCTTGCCACATCCCCGTGTTGTTGCTGACATCATGAAAGTGATCCTGTATCTTCTAGGTCGGATTACCTCCACCTCTGATTGCTGCCCAGTCTTCTTTGCATGGTTCCTCATGGTTCCCACCGCAGGTGGTGAGCCCACTGGGGGATGGTCTCGCATCACTCCTTTGGGCTGGTCCTGGCCAGGTCGAACTAAGAAACACCCAACCCTAGATCCGCGTGACATCAAGTAACTCAGTTTCTTTAGTTATCATGGGGGCTTTGTGAGCCGCGCTTTGTCTGATTTACCAACATAGCCTCTGAGATCATCCAGGCATTAAAACCCCTCCATGACGTTAAGATGGTGGTTTAAGGAGGGGATAATTTTGCATTATAGGAAAATGATTAAATGCATTGTCAGTCCCTAAACAAACCACCACCGCCAGGGTATAGCAGCTGACATCAGGTCTCCTAAATGATGCAACCTTCCTAGCTAAGCCAAGAGCAAAACTCAGATGCATACCCTTTTTAATTTAAGGAGGGCACAAAACAGACGGCTTCAGACACAAAATCAGGGTTTCAACAAATGTGCAGTAAATTTTCATAATAATGCCTCGGGCATGTAGACAGCATTACACCATATCTATTTATACAGTTTATTAGCAAATAAAGTTGATTTAGGGCCTAGTAGTCATTTAAGTAGCACATTGGTTGTATTCTATAAGATTATGCTGTTTTTGTATGTTGGGTAATAACCTAACAAAAACATGATAGTTACCACTTATATGAGCTAATCAATGTCCTTTATTTCAGGTTTATGGCTGGGTCTCCTAATTTGTGTCTTTATTCAGACGGGTTTTTTCCTCATTATAATCTTCAAAACTGACTGGAAAAAGGTCACAGACAAGGTGAGTTACACTCTATAAGTAAAAAACACACAGAAACAAATGAATTAAAAAATAAACTAATTATAAAAAAATATATATATTTTGAAGACAAACCAGATTTGTATATTTTGGTCTAATACTTCTGTCAAGAAACAGTGCTTGCAAGGTTTCTTGCTTAGGACCTCAGGATTGATGAAAAACAAAACAAAAGACCAAACAATTATTTACCTAAACGATACACACCTGCTTTTTAAGGGCTGAATGGACCACTTGCCCTTCCTGCAACGTGGTTTGGGATGGTGGGAATAGTGCATAGTGGTAGTATTTAAGGCCGGTGTGGGATTGGGCCTGGTTGCCCTTAGATGTGGGTGCTAAGTTGTATATATCTTTGCTCTGTGATGGACTGGTGACCTTCCCAGGGTATAACATGCCTTTCACCCATAGAATGCTGGAGATAGGCACCTTTTACCAGTTCTCCTTCAAACAGCAGATACAAAAAAGGACTGTAGCTAGGTACAAATTGACATTTTTCTTTTTCATATAAAACGAAAAATGTACTTAATGAACAAAAGTGAAAATTCCTGAAATGGCAAAGGGCCACATAATTTCTCCCACATAATTGTTAAATTTATTCTTAGTCTGTATAAAAAGAAGGAAAATTAACTGTAAACACATTCACAATTTCAGCTTGAATTGTGTCACATTTAAGCAAGATTCTTTTTAAATAAATACATTTTCTGTGTTCTGTCTCTAAATGTCAAATTTACAAGAATTTTGGTAGTCGTGTTAAGCTAATGGTCTCACTGACATTCTTTAGGCTCAAAAACGAGCTGGGAAAACTGTGGTAGTCCCCCCCGTGCGTCCAGTCAGTACAGTTCTGAATGAAGCAATCTTACCAGATGTCATTGACTGCCCAGATTCGGTATGTACAGAGCGTCCTGTGACACCTTTTTATTTACCCTGTTTATGAATGTATTATAGAAGCCTTTCCTTGCCTTATATAAATGTATTTTTCTTTATAACCCCAAAGGCCCAGGAAAAGAATGAAACAGCCTTTGGAACAGAGGGCTACAGTCGTGTTAATACCCATGATCAGGAGCTGAAGGGGGGGTATGAGTCAGAAGAAAACCCCAGAGGTGCGGCTGTACCTGAGAGAGACGCTGAAAAGAGCAAGGAATGTTCTGTCACTAAATCCCCAGACAGGCTGTCCACCTCTCAGCTGATCATGCGTCGGGGACTCACATTGCTATCTACAGTTCTAATTTTGATCACAGGAGTTGCATTTCAAATTGCTTTTCCTGTACCAGAACCCCATGCCTCTAATATGGCCAACTTCACCTTAAACTGGGCTAATTACTCCACTCCTACACCACTGAATGCACTAAACCCAACCACAAGCTTGTAAGCAACTTGAAATGGAGACATCTGCTGACTGCATGTGGTTGTTGCACTGGCACTCTATTCAGCAAATGTCTTGTTGTAAAGATCACTTCTAACCCTTTCAATATGAGGAGCCAGGCTGGGCTCACAAGTTTTGGTGCAAATTTTACCAGCACACTATGAATAGAGTGCCAAAAATACTGCAATTTGATAAATAAATCTTTAAGTAATGATTTATACCTGTAATAGTTTAAATTACAACAAAAATAAATCAAAAACTCCAAACTAATAGTTTTATAGGGTAAAACTGCAATATTTCTAGCTTTTGTATGTGTATGAACTGAAGTACACCACATAAACCCACTTAATCCCACATACCTTCTAATCGGTTTACTTACACTTCACATTATCTCCATCAACTGATGGGAAGTGATGACAAATTACTCCAGAACATAACTATGGTGTTACTAAATAATGACTGAAATAACTGCACATTTGTAATTTAAGCTGATATTGTATTTACTGAAACAAAAAATAAGTATTAATTCTACAATTGATTTATTTTCCTAAATTTTGGCACATTTGGACCTTCATGCCTGCTAGCATTTACGTATTTTTTATTTAATTTATTTTCCCTTTGCCCTGTTGGTATTTGTTTAATCCTTAAATTAGTTTTTCATTTTTTATCAAACAACATCTTTAGTGTAAACATTTATATTGTACACATGGGAAATCAAGTGCACATGGAAAATGTACACGGACAGGTGTAAATACATAGATTACCCACTGACACCTGGATTTATTTACAAGTATATATAAAAATGTGTTTTTGCCTTTAAGAAGATGAAAAATTATATTGAGATTGGTATTTTTACTATTACACAAAAAATATGCAGTAAATTTACAACAACAGACAAAATATTCAAAATTAACATAAAAATCACATAGTAATAAAACTGTTATAAACAGGTCTTATCAATAAAAAGTAAATAACATCTGTTACATTGTAGCAACAGATTTTTTTTTACATATTTTTACATTATTGTAAATTGTATGTATGTCAATAATGTCATAATAACTCAATAATTAAACTGTAATTAACCAATTTTAATTGCAAAAAATAAACATCTGTTACATTTCAATCTATTTTTAGTGCAAATTTGTAAAAACAGTTTTAGTAGAAGATTCATGTAGATTAATAAAAGAAAAGTATAATGCTCAACAATGAAAACTAACTCAGTAATTGAAATGGAGATTTATTTTCCAGCATGTTATTTTTATAAATATAACTGAAAGTAAGAAGGCAAAATAAATAGGAGCGCCGGAAGAAAAGCAGTCCAGAAAGCTGTTATTTATATAGCACTGTTAGGGACTTGGAACTTGCACAATAACGTAATGTATCAATTACGCTACAAACCAAAATATTGTGACAACCTCACAAAAACTGGCCACAATCTTAGAATGTAGTTAGTGAAAGAACTCGATAAGAAAAGGAGTATTTTTTATCTTGGCACCAACTACTTTATAATAAAAAATTAGCTTATTTCCTGACTGGTTTCATCTGTTTTTGACTCCAGATTTTGCTCATGCATCGGCACAAAATATGTATTTTAGGAAGCAGTCCTGGTAGAAAAGACTGTTTTTTTTAAAGGTTCCTAGGACCATAGCTAAGGTGCATGGGGGAAATGAATGCTTTGTTTGATAAATATTTGCTACAATGGGTATCAAGGGGTTAAAACAGTGGTAAGTAATAAAACAGTTTAGTTTTTTTTTGTCATCATAGATTTCTCTTTGGGTTTTCTTTTGGAACAATTGACGTTTAAAGATATTTAATAAGATTTTGTGTATAGTTAATATACAGTGGGTACAGAAAGTATTCAGACCCCTTTCAATTTTTCACTCTTTGTTTCATTGCAGCCATTTGCTAAAATCATTTTATTTCTCATTAAAGTTCAAACGGAAAAAAAAAAACTTAGTTTCTAATTTGATAGTATGTACAAAATTAAATACATCAAAAATGAAAAAAACTTCCAGCATTTTCTTGTTTGTAGTATTAAATAATTCACTAAGATAGCAGACAATGCTAAATTTCTCATTCGGTCACGTGACCCACTGATGGATGCCGTGACGTCAGTTTAGTCAGGAAGAACTAATTTTACATAGCTAGTCAATATTTATTCCCCTTTGTGATGGAGTTTGTATCCTTTAACGAGCACAAAAATGATCAGAGTCTTAGTGGTTCTAATAATGCTCACTGGTTTAATCATCGCTCCTAAATGTTCTTTGATCTTATGCAGAGCTGGTGGAAGTTCATTATCTTTCAGAACATTTTCCAGATGGTTCTGTGTTAAACCAGATTCTAACCTTTTGTTTGAAGAGGAGATAAGGTTGGTTTCGGTTAGCAGCATGCTGCTGCAGCCGGGTTTGAAGGCAGGCGGTTAGTGTGCCTGGATGGAGAAAGAGGTCCCTCATTAATCCGATCGCTGTCCGGGTAGGAAAAATTGACCTTCGGATGTGGTTTTTACCCGGTTTGGTTCATGGCTCCGGGCGGGTGGGGTTCGAGCTGTGGGTCTCCTCCTGCGGTAACTCACTGTTATTCATCACAGTTCTTGTTGTTCTGGAGCTCAGACCATAATGGTATTGAAATCCATCTGTAGCTGCCGCTATACTAAACTGTGCAACTAGCTAAGGTTTGCTGTTTTATGAAATAAAATAAAATAAAATATTTCATAAAAAATAAACTATGCTTTGAATCAGCTTTATTGTATTTATTTATTAAAGCTATACAACAGAGAAAACAAGCCATTGCATCTTTGGTATATTGAATCTAACTGATGCTGTAAGAGCAGGGTCGATGATAAAAGAATCTGCCGTGAAGTGATCCGAACATAGTTTGCTGTATTGGCTTGGACGCCACAGATTGTCCAGTTGCTTTTTTTCCTAATCTATTTACTTTCCGGATCGAAATTTGACTCAAAAGCGTTTTTTTTTTGGATCATTAAACATTCCTTTTCCATTGTAATGATGTTTTAATGTTCCTTTAAGAGTGCTTATGAATGCGTTAAGTAGTGTTTCCTTACACTAGCCCAAGGACGTTTGAGTACACTGACGTCACAGCATACTGTAAAATTCTCTCGATTTTATTACTTGGAGCGTTTTTAGTGTGATTTGGATCAGCCACATAGAGAAAAGAAAGGATAATCTACCATCACACATGATAAAACTGCTCTAGACGCACTCCTTTCTATTTGACCTTTAATGTACACTCAGTACCCCATCTTGACACACAAAAAACAAAAATGTTATTAAAAAAGAGAATCTGAAATATCAAATGGTCATAAGTATTCAGAGCCTTTGCTGTGACACTCATATTGAATTCACATGCTGTCCATTTCTTCTGATCCTCCTTGTGATGGTGCTGCTCCTTTATTGGAATCCTGCTGTGTTTAATGAAACTGATTGGACTTGATTAGGGGTCATCAACTGGTTTTCCTTAGATAGAAAACTTTGAATCAATTTGACTGTATGATCTGGTTGAACTATAAAGTGCCTTGGGATGACTTGTGTTGCGTATTGGCGCTATATAAATAAACTGAATTGAATTGAAATTAGGAAAGGCACACACCTGTCTACATAAGACCTTACAGCTCACAGTGCATGTCAGAGCAAACAAGAATCATGAGGTCGAAATAACTGCCCAAGGAGCTCAGAGACAGAATTGTGGCAAGTCACATATCTTGCCAAGGTTACAAAAGAAATGCAGCAGCACTCAAGGTTCGTAAGAGCTAGTGATGGTGAGATGAAGCCTCATGAGGTATTGAACCGTTTGGCCAAATTGCTTCAATGATCCCCACAGTTCCTGAGGCCTCATGTGAACATGTCACCTCCTACTGGTGGAGTGCAGGACTACAGTAAGTAATAAAATCTGAGATTTTTTTGCAATTATTTTTCTTGTTTTTTTCCCCATTTAAGTTCCTTTGAAATAGTTAATGATTTTGTAAGTTTTTTTGTGTAAAAGGTCTTAGAAGAGAACAATCATTTAGGGTAAACAGTTTTTCTGCAATTTTGATGAAATAAGCTCAAGCAGACAGTAAATGCGCTTGTGCAAATTGGGCAATGACGACCAAAATGAAAGGGGTTAGTCATTTCTTTTCAAACGCAATAGTTTTTCCACTGTTTTTGGTTTTAATCAGGTTGGAAGTTATATGTTTAACCAATCTTTTGGCTAAACCAGCCAATCTAATTTGGCAGTGTTTTTACCCAATCTATATTTTTACTATGGCAAACCAATACAAATCAGTCACATTAGGCGAAATGCTTAAGTATAATTGCAATTTTGAAAAGTCTAGGGTAGGTCTTGAACCATCAAACTCAGGAGTGAAACACAATGTCTTACAGCTGATGCCACCAACATTGGTAACTGTTGGCAACAGACAGCAATAGTACTTAACATTAAAGTTACACCTGTGTCCAGTGGCTTGCTCAGATCATTACATTGTTTGATCTAACTACAATAGTTTGAACCAACTAGATTGGCTGTTTCTCCAACCAACCTATTCTTAGAATATACCCAAACTCTATCCAACTGACAGCAACTCCTACAAACTCCTACATCTTAACTGAGTAGCGAGGCTGTTTAAATGCCTGTCAAAGTTCTTGCGCTTTCTGAACCTGAAAATTTGTGTTGTTTTTTTTTTCCGGTTATCTTATGCAGGCCAGTTAATTATACGTCAGCTTGTACACCTAAATTCAGCCAATCAAATATCAACGGTCATCTGTCAATCAAATTTTTTCGGTCATGGCATCTTGATTCATATGTCACAGCTAATATACGCAACAATGAAATAAGAAATAAGAATCATTTACTTTACCATTGAGGTACGTCCCAGTGTTCACGGGGATGGACGTCTGTGTCTTCAGCAGGCGTAGAGCTAACAGAACTGGCAGCGTTGTGAGGCAAGGGCTCAAACATGTACGACTGTAAGCCTTCTACACCAAACAAGGCTTCTGCCATCCTGGCGTCCTCTTCCAGACCATCTTCGTCCCCACTTTCCTCCTCTAAATAAAAAAATTATGACAGAGGAAACTCATCCAGGCCCTCCGATACAAAACTCTCCTCCTCTGGCATGCTTCTGCTGTCTGTAGCGTATAAATATAATTTTCCATTGGGAAACTGCTAGCACTAAGTTGCTAACTGGTTAGCAAGATGCTTCCGACAAACCGGCCACAACCAAACTTGCTTGCAAACCTTTTGCCACAACAATCCTGCCCCCTTGATAAATGACCAAATTCAATCAAATTCACTTTATTCACTCGTGTAAAGTCAGACACCACTCGGTAGAATATGGAAATGCAACGGTTGGAACAGCTGTTTCCCTACGACTTTAAATGGAAGAAGTTTGAGATAACCAGAATTCCTAGATCTGGCCACCCAGCCAAACTAAGCAATCCTGGGAGAAGAGCCTCGTTGAGAGAGGTAAAGAAGAACCCAAAGATCACTATGACTGAGCTCCAGAGATGCAGTAGGGAGATGGGAGAAAGTTCCACAAATTAACTATCACTGCAGGTGTCAGGGCTTTAAGGCAGAGTGACCCAACAGAAGCCCCTCCTCAGTGCAAGACATGAAATCCTGCATAGAGTTTGCCAAAAAAACACACGAAGGACTCCCAGACCATGGCAAGAAAGAATCTCTGGTCTGATGAAACCAAGATTGAACATTTTGGCATCAATTCTAAACAGTATGTGTGGAGAAAACCAGTCACTGCTCATCATCTGCCAATATAATACCGTGGTTAAACATGGTGATGGCAGCAACATGCAATTTGGGTGCTTTTCAGCTGCAGGGACAGGGTGACTGGTTGTAATTGAAGGAAAGATGAAAGTACAGAAATATCCTGGAAGAAAAGCTCTTCCACAGTGCTCAGGACTTCAGACTGGGCCAAAGGTTCACCTTCTAACAAGACAATGACCCTAAACACAC